TGGGATCCGAACCCTCGGCGGGAGCGCCGCCCTCTACCGAGTGCGCCACTGGGCCGGCCCTGCCAGTACTTTTTAGCAGTGGAATCTCTCTTCTCCTCCCCCAGTGCCTCTGAATTAACTTTACATAGCTTCCTTAAAATGTGTCCTTAATTTACCTGTCACTACTGAGAGATAGCCTTTGAGACATCCAGGGCTCAAAGGATCAAGTTTGAAAAACTGTTAATTTAGGGCAACAGATGTTTTTAGTATGGGAATATACTGTGGTTGCTAAAGTACTAAGAAAGCTTCATAAGTGCTCTAGTTTCAAACTGTTCTTACACCTATCCTGTCTTTATGTCTGTGCCATACTTGATTTGGCATTTTTTTACCATCTTCATAATTCCTTCTTACTGCTACAGAAGCAGCTTGGTCATGTATATTGGCTATTAAAGCAATCAAAATAGTTATGTGGGAAGATGGACAAATGTGAAGAACTTTATATATATATATATTTGTATATAAAATATATAGGAAGGTACTTCCAAAAGTTTATGGAAAAATAGAATTAAAATAAAATGTAAACCTTTCCATGAACTTCTTGAAGTACCCTCATTTATGTACGTACATACTCATGCACATACCCAGACACATACTGTAGATCCCGATCTGGTCAGCTTAGTAGACAACATAGATAAGCATATTTTGACCTCTCTATTCTTTTGTCCAGTTTACACGACTGCAGTGATACCCTGACCAATGTAAGTTGTTTTTAGATAATACCAAAAAGAAAATCAGAAGTCTTTGAAAGACTGATATGGTCATCCAGTTAAATTCAGGTGGAGATATGCCATCTGGCTAGTTCTGGGTGAGGATAGGGTTGTTCCATAAAGATGCAGTTAGGGATTTTCTAAGAAGCTTCAGAGCTCTTCCCCAAATAGGGACTGTAATATCCCTCAGTGGCCACAAACCCACCATAAAACTCATATGTTAACTGGGCAAAGAACAAGTTCCTGAGAGACACTGACCTCTGGTAGGAGAGTAAGACTCCTTCATCATCACAACTCCTCTCAAAAGACCAGGACTTATGTAGTCAAGGTCAAGAGCATTACTGAGCGACCCACTGGAGTGGAAGTTTCAGGATTTAAAGGCTGTTTTGTCTATGTGGCAGATCCTCTTTTATGATTCTCCCTTCTATTTGGCTTTTA